GTGGGCATCTCCCCTCGCCCCTTCCCCATCTGCCCTGCTGCATCCACGTGGCTTGTTACCACCATGTCATCCTCTGTGTGATCACAAGAACTTGGTTTGGAGAAGAACAGGCTCCAGGGTGACCTCATTGTGAACGCACATGGGGAAAATAACATGGCTTCAAGTGCAAGAAGATTTTAGGATAAAACTGACCATTCCTACATGAGAGGTTGCAAGCTGGGATCACACCCTATGAGTGCATGGAGTGTGGGAAGTGCTTTGGGTTCTTCCAGCTGCTCCAAGCTGTAATCCTGCACCACCAGCCCTTAGGGATCGCTCAGGCAGAACTTCTGGTCCCTGTAACCTGTGGGATACTGGAGAAATTGGGATAAATGCTCATACAGTGCACCCCACGGCTTCCTCCAGTTCTATGGCAATGCTTCTCCTGCATCCATGTTCCTGGTGGATGTAGAGCCCCAGCGTGGTGCACAAAGCTGCAATGGGATGTTGGTGTTCAAAGTTCTCCTGTTTTCCTCATTGCCAAAGGGGCAAAGTTCCTCAAACAAAATTACTGAACCCTGGAGCTGAGCAAAGGTTGAAGCTGAGCAAAGGTAGAAGCTGGGCAAAGGTAGGAGAAGCAGGGCACAGCCACACACTTTCCTGCAGCTCAGGTGAGGGATTTCTGTCTCCGTGTGGCTCCTTGTAGGGGAAATCCTTCTGGGGTCACCTGTGAGGAGCAGCCTGAGAGGAGCACTGGCACCACGCAGGGCAGTGGTGGCTGTGCTCATGGAACTCATGTTTGAGCAACCCGTAACCCTTCTCCCCTGGTGGCTGTAACCCTCTGGGTCCTTATCTTCTCCTACAGCTTCTTCCTGCATATTCCTCCTGAACTTTCTCCCCACCTTCTTTCCAAATTTTCTTCCCCATCTTCTCCACCGCCTCCTTCTGCTTCTCCTTCTCCCAACTCCTTCCCTCACCTCCAACCCCGACCTCCTTCCCCTGTCCTCTTCTCCCATCTTTTACCCATTTTTTACACGTCTTCTACCCCAACTCTTGCATCACCTCCTTCTTCATTTTCTTCCTCTCTCTCCTTTCCCCAACTCCTTCCCCCCTCCTTTTCTCCAGCACAGATGCATTCCGTATTGGGCTGCAACCACCCCACTTCTGCCCTCCCCTGGAGGATCCTCCTGCCTCTCGTGGCTCTGCACCTCCTCCGCCCAGGATCAGGTAGGGGTCCAGTGGGGCTGCTGTGCCTGCCAGAGGTGTTGCTGTGAGGTGGGGGAGCAGCCGTGGGGCAGGGAGGATCCAAGCCCAGCACCCAGACACACTTGGGTTTCACTTTCACTTTGGTTGTTCCATGAAACGCGTCATTTTGGGTAGAATTTCTGTCTCTTCTTCACCTCTCACCCCCAGCAATCCTTCCCCACTCCCTCCTGCTGCCTCTCCAGCTCTTCTACATGCGATGCAGCACACACCAACTCACCCTGTGCCGCTCCATGTCCCCACATTCACACAGCCACCATCTCACCGTCTCTCCCTGCCCTTCTCATTGCCCAGCCCAGCTCAGGGTGGTGGCACCAAGCATCCGTGTCAATGCCATCGTGGGACAGGACGTCGTGCTACGCTGCCAGTTGTCCCCTTGCAAGGATGCCTGGAGCTCAGACATCAGATGGATCCAGCAACGGTCCTCTGGTTTCGTGCACCACTACCAAAGTGGACAGGACCTGGAGCAGATGGAGGAATATAAAGGGAGGACAGAACTGCTCAAGGATGGTCTCTCTGATGGAAACCTGGATCTGCGCATTGTTGCTGTGAGATCTTCTGATAGTGGCTCCTACATCTGTGCTGTGCAAGATGGTGATAATCACGCAGACGCTATGGTGAACCTGGAGGTGTCAGGTCAGTGGCAGGGGTGACGCCTCCAGGTGTCGCTGGGTTCGTGTGTCCCACCTGAACTCTGTCCATCCTCATCCTCACATCCATGCATGGAGAGCTGAAGGACAGCAGCCTTCGAAAGAGGTCGGGGCTGAGTTGCTCCATGAGATACTGGAGTTGGAGTGGGCACACGGCGCGATTTGGGAATGGATCTGAATGGATGAGGTGGTTGGGTTGGGTTTCTGGGATGGGTTTCTCCATGTCTCAGAGGCAGTGGGCACAGGATACTGAGCAGCTCCTCCACCTGTGCCAAGCTGGGCATGCGGCCATTGTGTGTCACTGCTCCCTGGCTGCTGCCCCTTTGGGTTCCGTGAATTCAAGAAACCTGAGTCTTGCTTTTCCACATACGACAATGGAAAAGGAACCCTTGTCCTGATGCTTTTTTCAGATCCCTTTTCCCAGACCGTCCATCCCTGGCAGGTGGCTCTGGCTGTGGTCATCACACTTCTCGTTGGGTCATTTGTCATCATTGCTTTTCTCCGTAGAAAGCAAGGTGAGCTGAGAGCAGAGGGGATGTTGTGCAGGGACAGGGATGGTCGGGGTGGTGCTGAGCTCTGCTCCATGGAGGTACACAGGAGGAGGAAGGGAGATTTCTCCTGGTATATCCAGTGTTCATTAAATAATGCTTGCCTTTCTTTTCAGGAATGAAGGAAGGGGAAAAAGGAAAGGGGTGTGGGTGGGAAGATAGGAATGTGGCTGGGTCGTGGGGCAGGTGGAAAGCTCCAGGCCATCTTGAGATGTTCCCACAAACCAAGCTGCCCTGCTGACCACCTCTTCCTCTGTTTTGTTTTCCAGTGGCACTGAGCAGAAAGTTGAGTGAGTCCTTCCAGCCCCTTACACCACCAAAATCCTTTTAATGGAACTGATAGAAGACTGCAGACTGGGCTTATGCAATGGTTTGGGGCCGTGGGATGTGTTGGTGTTGTGGGATGTACTGGGGCTACAAGATGTGTCGATCCTGATTGATCCACATGCAAAACTCATGCCCAATTTCCTTCATATTGGCTTAATTGCTTCCCAGTGGTCATTGGCCACTTCCCAGAACAAAGATTTTTGGGGTATTGGCACGGGAGCAGTCAGGGGATGAGAAGGTCCTCTGACCATGCATTTCTTTTGCTTCTATTTTGCAAAGGGAAAAGATGCAGAGTTGGGTAAGTGTCCTTGCCTAAAGTGAGGGAATTCAAGGTCGCTCCTTGGCATTAGCCCTGGGATGAGCAGCTGCCCCTCTTACCCCTCTGCACTGCACTGCTCTTCTCTTTCTTTTCCAGCAAAATTAGTTTCCCTTTTCATTACTTTTTTTTTTTTTTTTTTTTTAAAAAAAAAACATTTTGGGAGCTGTGGGATGAGCCGTTCCTTCCATAATGCATTACTTCTGCTTTTCCTTTGCAGAGAGAAGCCACGAAAAGTTGGGTGAGTCCCCCTCCTCAAACCAGAGATTTGGGGTCTTCC